GAAAACAAAAGAAAAGCATTTTTCTTCAGATACTGGGCAGACTTACACTATCATAAGATACCCAGCTGTTTCATAAGGCACTCACTCTGTATGTTCTCTAGTAAGCCATGCACACGTCTCAATATTGTTTTATGCAGGGATAGAGAACAGTAACCCACTAATGATTTGATTAAACTGCCTAAACTCTGGCAACTCCCCAGCCAGTTGAGAATAAAGTGTGAAGCGTAAGACAGCATGCATTTGGTCGCTGGATCTATACTCCTATATTTCCATTTGCAAGCAAGACAGACATTTTTTTATACAAGTAACATTACCTTTATAATACCATACATTTTTAAGACCTGTCAAAATCATATTTAACCGGATTTATAAGGCAAAATTCTGATTATTGGATTTAAAACTTTTTAGGACACCCTGTCCACATTAAGCCAAACAACATACCAAGAGCTTCAATAGGAGTAGATAATAAAATAATAACAAGTAATGACCTCCATTACTGAAAACATTCCACTTTAGCTTACAGGAGGTAAATACTACAACCGGCTGCAGCCAATGCCAATATATGGGCAAGAAGCAGGATATGCCATGAACAAGTCACTGGTCTATCACAGGCCTACAAACACACTCACATCCACTCATGCTGTATGGTGTGTATGTTTTTAAACCATGGGAGGAAACTGGAGCACATCTACTGTCAATTTCAAATTATACAAAAGGAAAGCATTCTTGGTCATTCTTAATAACTACATTAATTTTTCCACTGTTTCATCAAAACCCTTATTAGTTTCATCACATTAGATGGCTGCTTGCTGTATTTTTTAATGAAAACATTACAATGCTGTTTATACAAAATTATATTTCTCTAACTGACCACCAAGAAGTCACAGTCTAAAGAAGATCTCCAGAAACTCATCATCATTTCTAAGATCTGAAACTATGAGGTAACAGTCACAGTTGTTATTCCTACAGGATATGAATGCAGCAGGCAGACTCCATGCAGAGCATTGGGCTACACGTGCCAGTGGGATTACCCAATCTGAAGAACAACAGGTCTGCCATGTGAGCTGCCTCTGCTTTTGTTGACTGGCCCACAGGCGACCAATGAGAAAAAATCTGTGTGGCCGGCCCATATGCAGCCAATCAGAAAAATCTCAGCATCCGTGGGTGTGGCTACAGAGCTGGAGCTGACCTAGCTTAGATATGAGTAAGACCTCATCTATCTATCTATCTATCTATCTATCTATCTATCTATTGTAACAGAATTTAAGCACATATAAAGTAAATGACAAGGTGTTGGCAGTATCTGACAGATGGCTGTATAAACAAAAAACACATCTCTCATTATCCTACCTAATCATTTATCACACTGTTATTTGCCACTTCTGTGTATTATGTAAGTTCATTCGGAAAATATTAGATGCAAAAATGAACATCTGATACTGTATACTCTGACAATAAGGGCATGACTCAGACTGGTTCTTTACTGCTCTATAACAGAGACATGGATTTCCATATGATTTGTCTATCTTAGATGTGTCCTTTCATGGGATGTGTCCAAAGGGGAAGCAGAGTGTGGCCTACTTCCCTACATGGAACTGAGACAGATATAAGAACTGTTGCTAAAAGATGCTGGATAAGTGTCAATCTGACAGTTGAAACTGGTCTTGCCAGCAGGAGATCAAGTTACATTCATAGGAACGGTAGCCCGGTGTTTATGGCAACCACAGTCTCATAAAGCAGAGAGCAGTCTGTTAACAGTTTGTCTGGCTATATACAAAACTAAATGACTTTGTGGCACAGGTTCAGTTACTCTGTTTTCATTCACAATACAACAATATATGCAGAACCACTTGTTGCCGTATTATTTTGAGAACAAGCCACGATCCAAACATGCACATGCATGCCGTGGGTCCGGACAGGTTTTATTCCTGTTTGGTTGAATCAGCCCTGCATGGCACAGCAGTCAACAGCTCTGTAATCGCTCATGTAAGGCCGGTTATGTTACCATATACTGAAACATGGTTTCCTAACATCATGGTCAGAGTAGCTCAGATGAGCTTTTCAGGCTGTGTTACTTAATGTTGTCTTGTTTGATTCTTTCCAATGGATGACATGTATATATTATTATGTCTGGATGAGTAAATAATCAGTCACAAATTTAAACTTGCTTGTGTTTCCGTCAAGTAGGGGACACGCTTCTGCTGATGCCAACAGCCTAAACGTGTAAAACACAACATAAAATTCATAAAAACATTTGAATAACAGTGTTATGTAGTTATAAAACACAACTAGGAGATGTTCCTATTTGATGAAAGGTTTAAGTAATGCTATCTAAATCTAGCATAATCTGAATTGTTCTAGTTTTCCATATGTATGTAACTGTATATAAAAAAAAAACATTGCCAGATTTTTAATTGACCAATTCTTTTAAAATCCAAAATCTGTTTATAAATATTTTCCAAATAGAACACATAGCCAATACTATAACATTTGGTCAATACAATAGTGATAAAGCAGAGCTAAAATTAGTATACAAAACCAAGACAGGACAAATAGACTACAAATCAACATCCAAAAAAAACATAAATAAATAATCTCTATAATAACAACATAGTGAAAATAAGAACATCATTTAATTGACCGACTTTTGGATTCTGCCAAATACACTTTGGGGTCTTTTTCCAGATCTGCCTGCAGTTGCTAGGGGAAGTGACGTCAGCAGCGAATGACAGCTTTCACGGCGGAGGAAAAATCCGACAGTGGAGTGAAGCTGCGTACGACCGGGGTTAAGTCTATCGGCAAAATCCGTCTCCATCCTTCTCTTTTTGGGCAATAATGACCCCCAAAATACGGAGGACATAAACTACGCGTCTCACACTATCGGACGATATCGATATTATAGGTGTTCGTTCCTCCGAAAGATAAAAAAGGGATGGTGAAATTTGTATTGTTACAGAAGGATTCTGGGGGACGGGGGAGTGTGAATTAAGGGGGTTGTAAACCGGTCAAGCAAGGTGGAATATTTGCCGAGGTAGCGTAAACAAAAGGTTTGGAGCTAAACTTTTAGGATAAGAAACGTTAATTTCCAAGAAGGTACCAACGAAGCAACAGACGTAACGTTAGCTAACGGCGAAATGGAGCTGAGAGTGGGGAACCGATACAGACTGGGCAGAAAAATCGGAAGTGGATCTTTCGGGGACATCTACTTAGGTGAGTAAAAACATTTGTTCTCGTAACGTTACATTCACTAACTGGACGTTATACCGAGTCTATATCACATTGGGTTCATGTCATGTTCGTATTAACCTCAGTGTACGTCAGCAAGCCAGCTAATGGTTACTTTTCCTCCTGTCTGTCTGCTGAGTTAACTGTAAGCTGTCTAACCTTGCTGAAATGACAAAACAAGCCAATGTGAGTTAAAATACCGTAACCTGTTTGTGTCATTGCAGGTTCTATAGAAAATTCAGGTAAGACAGCTAGCTTGTTTAACTGACATGATTTTACATAAAGCCAGTAAAAACGTAGCCTCTACTGCTGGCTTAAATTAATCTTTATAAGTATACACACTCATCTAACCGTTACAGTACGGTAACGTTACTTAAGCAGAACAAAGCTGAGTAAATCCAGCTAATTGCAGTTGTTTGCAAGCAAGTACACGGTTCAAGTTGACCGAGACACCATGGATATAATACTAATACTTTTTACGGTTATGATTCAATATATTATGATATATTGCGATCCTGTAAGCTAGGCGATATATTGTGATTTAATAAAAAAAAAATGTAAGGAAAATTCATAGTATATAGAATACAGCACCATATGCATAAAATCAGAGTTAAAAAAAGCTCCCTTTCTTATGCAACCAGAACAGAGAGATATGCATTTATATTTACCATATTCCCTTTAACATCCAACATCATATCCCTGTTTACAACCCTGCTATCTAGCAATTGAGGGTTTAAACAGAAATATTGATAGTATTTTAGAGAATTGATACAATATCAAAAATATATATACATCGCAGTGTGATAGTTTTTGACATTTTTTTTACAACCCTAATACACAGTCATCTAACCGCTAGTACAGTACTTAAGCTGAGTAGATTCAGCTAATTGCAGTTGTTTGCCAGCAAGTACACAGTTTCGAGTTGACTGAGACATTAAACAGTGACCATTGACATTTTACAGACAAGAGTTGAATAAAATCCAATGATTGTCATTCTAGCTGGGAAAATAAGTAGCCACCTAAATAGACAAGTAGCCTGAAAGCTAGCTTGATCCCTGCTCTGTCAGCTAAATCCAGTTCTGAAGATGGCAGTAGCTTTGTGGCAAGGCAGTTTCTGCCCTGAGGCCTGAGAGGCAAGAACAACAGGAACTAGTGTACCAGCTATGTTACTACCCAACCTACCACCCCCTTCAGGTTCCAAGGTTGCTTCTTTTAGTATCTATCAGCCATGCATGACATAGATTTACTGTTGAGTTGTGATGGGAAATGTTTGTTATCAGATAAACACTGGGTATACTGTTGTTTCCATCTTGCTCTCAGGCAAAATAGTCTTTGATATGCAGGCTTTGGAAACTTGTAAGATAATAGTTATTTACAAGAGTGAGTTTAATCTTGCCATGTCATGACTACACGTGGGACGGGGTGGCCTCTGGTCAGAGCCTAAAGAGATGTTGACATGTGACCTTTCTGTTCTGGACCAAAGCATGTGTGTTGGAAAGGGATTTATATAGTTACTGTAACTGAGCTAAGAACTTAAAGTCTGTCCCACAAACCTACTGGGTTTGGCACAGCACACACACCCCGCAGTTACTAAGTTCTTGACAACTAAATAAACAAAACAAAAAAACATCAGCTGGTTGGAGTCACCTTTTGTGAAGTGGCAGAATAGATGTGGACTGTCAAAAAGACAAATGCCACCTTACACCTGTGCCAGAGGGATTTCCACAGAAACAGTGTGTTACCTACATGGATAGTGAAGATTAATCTGTTGTCAGTCACATTGTGGTATTTGACACTGAAGGGGTTTTTGGAAACATAAAAAAATTGTGAAAAGAGAGGTTTTTGGCATTTGAGCTTGATAAACAACCAACACAATTAAATGATGATCAAAATATTTGCTGCTTGATTTTCTTTTTTTTTTTTTTCACAAAATGAATCCACTAATAATTGTATTACTGTTAACTAAAAATGTGTATTCCATGTCAGATTTGTCTTTAAACAATATCCTAAATGTCACAGACCCTCCCTAATAATGTAACAAACATATGGGTGCATGTTAAGGTCACCAGTTTTAAATATTTCACAATTTGCAGCATAAAATGAATTCAAATTTGAATTCTGGTTCAGTCATGGATTGATTTAACCTGCTATGTGCCATGTTTTGTAGACAAAGCAAAGCATTTTTCTTACTTCCATGGTTCATACCTCTGGTTCTTCTCCTTGGCAATGGAAACCAAGATTTGTGGGTATTCAGATGTTAAAAAAGAATGGTTATACAATTCAGTATAATTCAGTTTGTCAAAGCCACAGGGAGCCACTGGAGAGGGGCTAAAGAGAGGTGGCCTACCCCTGGTTTAGCAGGAAAGCTAATTTGGGTTGTTTAGCAGGCTGCTGTCTGGATCAGCGTGCCCATATACTCTGACTATAATAAATAGAAATGCTTTATTCAACATTTGATTGGCTGTATCAAAAGAGGGTCTCAATCTACGTAGACAGATAACATACGGAATTATGTCGAGTTGATGCAAAACTAGGAGGTGCCATCAAAGGGGTGTTGTATTTTATTTCATGGCTAGTTCATTTCAGTTGGACTTTAAGAATATCACTGAAAGAACCGGCGGCTCCCCCACTTTGCAACTCTCTGGTGGCCAGTCCAGAAGGGCCCCATCCAGCCAGGTTTGTATGTTTGTGAACTAGTTTGATGAGGGCACATTTCCTGCCCTGCTCCATGGGGGTTTCCTCTAGTCCACAAACACTCTTCACATTCACATCAGAAACATAAACATTGTGTATAACTGGGAATGAAACATGCCTTAAGCAGCAGGGCTGGGACGATACGCTGTATTTGATACTATCAAGATTCCATATTACAATTCAAGAAACTGTATCTCATCATAATCGTCATAATTCCAAAAATGATGCACAGTGAATTAAGAGCAAAGTGCTATATTTATCTGTTCCTGCTTATCAAAGATATAGATGTCATGTCACAGTTATCTTGGTCAAAATAATTGCTATACACGACATTATCACAATACGATATATATCACGATATTCAGCCAACGATACGATTCGATACGATTCGATACACTTACATCATTTTCTGAAAGATTTTAAAGGGA